CCAGACAAAGGGATGACTTATGTCCTGGGTGGGTCAGGGCACGAGATTTTATCAGCTACTCAGAACGGCACACAATTTACAACTTCGGAATTGTTTATTTCTGGAATTTCCCACTTAATATTTTCAGACCGAAGTTGACTATGGGTAACTGAAACCTGGGAAGGAGAATAAGGGGTGGGAACTACAGTATATATAAGCTCTCAAGATATTAATTTCAGTCTATTCTTGACCTCATCACTAATGTTAGGTAAGACCGATGCTGGAAAGTAAGGTAAGTACATTGAACTAACTTACGCTCTCTCCAGCGTCAGTTTCCATTTCACCCCATTGTTGCTAACACTGAGTAATAGTCTTTTAATTTAGTAAAAACGGGGTAAACTGAGAACACATACTAGACAGAATATAAGTTAGTACATTGATTCCTGGAGAGCAATCTCGCAAGTGTATGAAAACCCTTGAAACTTACCTAGGCCTTGAAATATATCAAACATTTAAGACTATTACGTAGATGGGCAGTTCTCACTTGGAATCTCATGCTGCAATCAGGTGACAGCTGAAACTGGACATCTGTTATGGTCTGTTTGCTCACATACTTAGAACTGCCGCTGGGATAACTAGAATTTCTGGACTGGCTGCACAACTCTCTATCCCAGACAGTCTCTTCAAGGGGTTAGCTTGGGCTTCCTTGCAGTAAGGTGGCCTCAGGGTAGTTGGAATTCTTACATGGCTGCTGACTTCCATCAGAGCAAGCTTTCTAAGAGCCCCAGTCAGAAGCTGCAGGACTACTTACGACATAGTCTGGGAAGCCATTCAGTATTCTTCCAACTAACTGCCTGCTGTTGGTCAAAAGCAAGTCATAAAGACAGTTCAGATTCAAGGTGGAGAGACTATATACACAAGGGCGCAAATACTAGGAGACGTGGAGGGTATGTGTGCGTGCGCGCGCGCGCCTATGTATATGTAACTTTTTTTTTCAATGGCATTTCTTTTAGAAAACTTTTTGAAAAAAATTGTTTTTAAAGATTTTATTGGGGTACTGGGGAAGGGAAACAGTGTTGGGGAATTGGGGGAGGGGAACATCAAAGTTGTTGTCCTTCAGTCTTAGTTGTGGAGGACGCAGCAAGCTCTGTTCCAAGTCCAGTCGCCATCCGGCCGCCCTTCGGCAGCTCGCAGCCGCTCAGCTCAATGCTGAGTTCNATGAGAGAAAGCTTTTTAAAAAGTATTTTGATTTCATCGACATTGTCTGCGTTTTGGTCTTCTCCATGGAACTGTTAAGTTCCTCTAAGTAGGACACACCCGGCACCCACTCAGTGATGGGTGTTGTAAAGTGAATTCTATCAGTAGCATAGAACCAAAGGTCCAATCTGTGAGGTGGGGGTGGCGGAGGGGCCGGGACCTGTTTTAACAGAGCTCCTGAAAGGTTCGGATTCTACACTTAAACTTTTGGAGCGAGGTTTCCTTTCAGGGTGTTGAGTGTTTCCCTTCAGCAGTAGGAGTTTGTCCCTTTAAGAGAAACAGCAGGAAGTTGCAAGTGAGAACTAAGGGGGAAGGGGTGAGGAGCAATGGGGATACAGACCGCTCCCACTCCAGAGTAGTTGAGAGTGTGGAAAACAGTAGCTGAAAACCAGAAGTTGTAGGTTAATTTTTTCAGCCCAAAGCAGGGTCCCCCCTCAAACTTAATTCCCTCTGAGGGAGGGAATGAGTGCCGCTGAGTGGGCGGGGTGTTGGCTGAAAGAGGAGGTGCGCGCGCAGCAGCCCCTCCCTGTTGAATGTTGCTGAGTTTGCCCTTTGTTGCTTTATATTTCCTTGAGAAGGGCAGAAGTGCAGAGCAGACGATCGCAGCTGAAGGGGTCTCTGCCCAGGGGCTGCAGGCAGGAAAGGCAGTGAGATCAGGTATGACCGCCGAACTCTCAGCTCTGGGCCAGCCTCTGGGTTTTGGGGATCTTGCAGGCCCGGGACTCCCCTATCAGATGCTTAGCAATTCCCTATGGCTAAGAAGACAGGGGAATCTGGCTTCCCCAGAGGCACCTGTTGTTGCAGGTTTTATTCGGATGCCATGGCCAGGGTCTTCCTTGAGAGGTGGTAACTGATGTGTGTTTTCTGTCATCTGTCATCCTTTCTTTAGGACAAGTTACGTCGACCCGGCCCTGTGACGATCTCTGGAGACCATGACCAAGAAAAGAATTGCCGTGATTGGGGGAGGTGCGAGCGGCCTCGTGTCGATCAAGTGCTGCCTGGATGAAGGCTTGGAGCCGGTCTGCTTTGAAAGGACTGATGACATCGGAGGGCTCTGGAGGTTCCAGGTAAATCTCCAGGTTCTTTAACACTTGGAACGCTCGCTGCACGCAGGTGCCTGAGCTGTTTTATCTCGATTCAGGAAATATGATGGCCTTGACAGTGATTACATCTGCTACAAGTCAGCTTGCGGACCTCTTCTCAGCAGCTGTCCCCTCCCTGCAAGTTCCTCTTTCCCTAGCTGGCAGCAGAATGGGACACAGATGTCACTTGTTTCTCCCTTTCCTGATATTTAGGAAAGTGGCACAGAGGTCATTTTCATTTAAAGAGTTTTGCTGCTCTCCAGGAGAGGGTAACAGTAGCGGGTTGGGGGTGCTGATTAAATAACAAATATCAGAACATGTAAAGTGATTTAAAAACTTAAGAGTGGTTGCTCATGGTCTGAATTAATAGGTAAGTCCCTTCCAGGAATCCCCCTTTTCAATCTTCTCTAACCTTTTTCTTTCTTTCTTTTCTTTTTTTTTTTTTATTCTGGTTCACTTTAGGTAATTCTTTAATTATTCTAGTCCTTTAGTAGACTATGTAACATGGCTGCCTTTGTTGCTTTGTATGTTTACTTCGCTTGAAAATTCAAAACAGCAGTTTAAAGTCCTGTCTTCAAAAGTAGGCAGAGGGCACCGGGACAGTTCTTGTCCTTGAATATATTCCGTTTTAAAGTCCGCTGGTTTTAATATGCACATCCAGCACTATGATTAGTTGTTACTAACAACTAAGGTGTCATCCACTTAAATGATAGTGGATGCCATGGAATATCAACCCCCTTTCCTGATCTCCAGAGTGACCAGCACTGAGTTTTGCTTTTAAACAAACTCTCTTTCCAAACCAGGGGATGGTACCGAGGTGTCCAGATATGTTTCCTATTTCATTAAAAACGAATGCAGTGTT